GCCATATTGTTGTCAACTTCTGAAGTGTGGCTTTGTGAAGGGTTTGCTTCCCAGCTAGGACTTTCCTATTTCTCTATGATAGAGCTGTTGCTCACTAGTTTGCATTGTTCTCTTCTGACTGCTAGTTGTTGGCTCCTGAAAAGGACAATTTGCATTAACATGGTGAGAGAGAGAGAGAGAGAGAGGTTTACTAGTGAGAATACTTGCATTTATTCTATCTTGCTTCTTAATCTTGGTTATATGTATATGTATTGGTAAGTTTTCATTAGCTTAGGAGGGGCAGAATGTTGATATGCATTCCCATGTTTATTTCTTATTTCTCTTTTCTATCAGGAAATTCATGAAATAAGAGAGAGAGGGTGGCATTTCTTCTTTAAGTGGGGAGGAATGCAGAGTCCTAATGGAAAAATGTTTTATCAGTGCAGTGTAATTAATGGCTTTATTTTTTTCTGATTCATGTATTGCTAGTTTTAGTACACTACCTATATTTTTCTGGGAAATACAGAGATCAAATGAGCTAATCACAGGTAGATTTACCCTTATATACCCTTATAGATTTAACAGTACAGTAGGCTGATATGATATACACAAATAATTACACAGTTATCCCTTCTACATTGCAACTTTCCTCATCATAGTTTTGATACATCGCAGGTTGGCATTAAATGGGAATTTTGGGAGAGTTTTGTGGAAGCTGCAGACAACATGTGAAGGCCAGGAAACAGCACAGAGCCTATGACTAAGTACATTACCCAAATTTTACAAGGTACTGTAAACACTTCATAAAAGAAAAAAAATCAGACTTCTTCTCTGATACAAAGGGAGAACCAAAAATTTTTATGCATATTTTCCAGATCATGGGGTACTGTGCCCCTAACACCCATGATGTGGAAGGGATAACTGTAATATAAACACATACATAATAAAAATATACAAAAGATGGAAGTAAAATGTCATGTGAGGTCTGAGCTATAGGGATATCCATATGGAAAGATCAAGGAAGCCTTCATTTATGGATACTTTAAAGGGTTGGTAGGGATTCAAAAGACAAAAGGAAAGAAAGGACAAAGCGTAAGAATATAGCCTGAAATAAAGATGTAATGTTTGGAAAGGCAATTCAATTAATAGACATTTTTAAAGTACCGACTACGTGCACAGATACTGGGAAAGTTCAGGGATTGTACTGGTGATAACAAGTAGCAATTTGATATCAGGAAGGAGCAACTGGAGGATCTTAAGCAGTGGGATAACATGATCAGTCCTATGCATGAGAAAGATTAGTTTGATATTAATGTGAAGGATTCCTTTGATGGAAGAGGGAGGAGAGAGAGGAAAACTGTTAGGGGGCTATTTCAAGAGTTCAATGGAGTGCTAATCAGGGTTTCTACTTGACTGATGGCAATGAGAATACAGGGTGCAAGAGATATTGATTTGATGGAATCAGCAAGATTTGGCTATGGATAGATATATGAGATCCAGAAAGATAAAAGCGTCAAAGGTGACATAATGGTTTTACACATGGGAGACTAAAGGGTGGTATGGCCGACAGTAGCAGTGAAATTAGAAGTGGTATATTTTGAGGTAAAAATAGTAAAAAAATTGGTTTTGGATTAATTGAGCTTGAAATATATATATATATATATATATGTGTGTGTGTGTGTGTATACATACATACATACATGCATATATTATATATATATATATATATATATATATATATATATATAATCTTACCTCTGATGCTTACTACCCATGTGACCTTAAACAAGGTATTCAACTTCCCTTACTTTCCAGATCTGTAAAATAAATGGGCTGGAATAGGTGATCTCTGATATCCTTCCCGTCTTTAAATCTATGTTCCCATGATCCTGTAATTTAGGTAGAAAAGTCCTATGAACAACTGGAGACATGAAATGAGAGCTCTGACAGTAACCAGGATTGAATACTGACAGTGGAAAAGTAAAAGCTGAGGCTGCAGGTATGAATGGTATTGCCAGGGGGACAGACTAGGAGAGAAGAGGGCCAGGAGCGAACCTTGGGGAATGCTCACTTTAGCGACAGGAAGAGGAGGAGCAACAGCCAGTAAACAAGGCAGAGAAGGAACATGTAGACATGCAGTAAGAGAAACAGGAGAGTTGGATATTTCAAAAGCCAGAGAAGGAGTGAGTCACAAGAAGGAAGGAGTGCTTGAGTCAAATGCAAAGAGAATGAACCATGGACTAAAATAGGCTGCTGAATTTCAAAGGTAACTTTTGAGGGGGCATTTTCAACAGATCATTTTAATGAAAGGGTAAGAGTATTAAGTGCAGATAGCTCTCCTTCCCCTCCAAGAAGTTGAGAGGTGGAAGATGGAATGTAGCTAGATGGGATAAAAAAATGTTTGAGGAAAAAATGATCAGCTGAGGATTCAGGACGCTTGAGCACATTTAATTGTCACTTGAGGGGGAATGGAATGCCATGGGACTGGCAGTGAAAGATGCAGAAAGCATCTGATGCTATTGATGGCATATTCCCCTGGGATGTTCCTGCCTCAGAGGCTTCAGTGAAATGTTCAAGTAAGTTGTGATTATTTTAATCGACTTCTGCCAGGAAGGCTTTTCATGGGAGGCAAATAATGGAAAGGGGGTGGTGCAGCCCTTTCTTGGGGGTCTAACATTGTTTTGAAGCAGGATTCTGGATTAGATTGGGTACTTTATAGTAAATCAGCCATGATTTACTTACGGATGCTGTGGCTTTGATACTATTTATCTGTGTCTCTCAGGTGTGAGTTTGTTGCTCCCCCGACCCTCGACACACACACTTGGTAAACTGTGATGGCTCCCTGCCACCCTCAGATCAAATATAATGTATCACTTTATAATGAAGAAGATAATATGTATAGGGGCAGCAAGGTGGTGCAGTGGATAAAGCACCAGTCCTGAAGTCAGGAGGACCTGAGTTCAAATGTGACCTTAGACCAAACACTTGACACTCACTAGCTGTGTGACCCTGTGTGATCAAATATAATGATCAGCCTTTAATGCCATTGCAACCTGGTCCCTTCCTACCTCTCCAGGCTTAAACTTAACTCAGCTCCATACAATCAATTATCCACCTACTACAATACTCAATGATCTAGTTACCCTGGTCCACTTCTTAATCCTTGAACATCACCCCATCTCCCTACTCTGACTATCCATCATGTTTCGAATGCTCTTCTTCCCCCCTCTCGCTTCTTGGCTCCACCTCCATCTTCTTTTTTTTAATTTTTAGTCAATTGGGGTTAAGTGACTTGCCCAGGGTCACACAGCTAGTGAGTGTCAAGTGTTTGGTCTAAGGTCACATTTGAACTCAGGTCCTCCTGACTTCAGGACTGGTGCTTTATCCACTGCACCACCTTGCTGCCCCTATACATATTATCTTCTTCATTATAAAGTGAGCTCTTCAACGGCAGGAATGATTTCTTTCTTTTTTCTTTCTTTCTTTCTTTCTTTCTTTCTTTCTTTCTTTCTTTCTTTCTTTCTTTCTTTCTTTCTTTCTTTCTTTCATTCTTTTTCCCAGCCCTTAGCATAAGGCCTGGCACATAGTAAGTGCTTAATACATACTATTGACTTCATGTGAATGAATAAATGAAAAAGCATCTATTACATACTTACTATGTGCCAGGCATTGTACTAATGGTTTCTGCCAGTTGAGAGCCATTTTAAGCAGGAGGGAAGTGATGGCAATAGGAAATTTTAAAAAGAGGTTAAACAAGAAGCTTCAAGCTCCATGAGTGGATCACCCCACTGCTGAAAATGTGACAGGTCTGTTGGAAATGCACACTGCACTCACAAATCAATGTCATTGACCCCAGAAGAGAAGGGGCTCCAAGTTCAGCACTTATAGCTGTCTAGTGGACAGCTGGATAAGTGACAGAGAATCCTGAGACTAGGCATCTGGGAGTCAGCAATCAGTTACAGGCTTCTCAGGGTTTGTGAGAGTAGGTATTACATGGTCTGTGGACTTTAGCTGTGGAGCCCTTGATTGCTGGTCCTGTAGTGTGGGTGGTTCTGGCTCAGAATGGGAAAAGTAAACCTTTGAAAGGCAGGAAAGACTTGGAAAGAGGTCAGAAGAAATCACCTAGAAATTTCAGCTCATACCTTCTCCTCCATCTCTGGGGTATCCATACTGAAGCTGTTAGGGCCTGTTTTCAGTGCAGCAGTCTGGGGTTCTTAGCCCAATGGAATCAGATATTATACTACCAGGGTTGGGAGAACGAAGGCAATGCACCTTTTCTAAATAATGAGAGAAAGAGAGGGAGGGAGAGAGAGAGAGCAAGAGAATGAGAGAGAGAGAGAGAGAGAGAGAGAGAGAGAGAGAGAGGGAGAGAGAGAGAGAGAGCAAGAGAATGAGAGAGAGAGAGAGAGAGAGAGAGGCACCCTTCCCATGATTCCACTATAGCAGAGGAGCTAGAGTACAATTCTATGATTACCAGAGAAAAGTTGCCACTATTGTCACAAGGGACCAAGATGAGGTCCCCAAGTAGGATAAAAACTAACTAATAACTCCTGGTTACAAAAAAAAAGTTAGACTGTAAGCTCCTTGAGGGCAAACTTATCTTTTACTTTGTATCCCCACCATTACAGTGTTTGGCATAGAATGGATACTTAATAAATGTTTGTTGACTGATTAACTGATTGAGTAAGAAGCCTACTTATGGGTGGGGTGGGTAGTAAGGAAGATGTTTACCTAGTTTGGATAGATAAGATTTTTAATTTTAGGCTTACACCTCAGGTGGTGAAACCTAGGAAGAGTGGAGAGTAGAGGTGCAGGAATCATTTAATTACCCTTCTTGTAAAGCTCTGAAGGTAGGAAAAAGGCAAAGGAAATAATTGGATTGTACTCTAGCTTAACCCAGCCTTCCCAGAAAAGTACATGGAAAAAAAAAAGATTAAGAAAGGGCCAAATAGAGAAGCACTGAGACAAACTTCCAAAGAAGGGGAGGAGATGTTCTTATATGATAACTATTCTGTGATAGGATGCGTCTTGGCAAGGCCGTGGGAGAGGGTCCAGGCCAGGACTGGGGAACCTGTGGCCTTCTAGGCCCTCAGGTGCGGCCCTTTGACTGAATCCAAACTTCACAGAACAGATCCCCTTAATAAAAAGGATTTGTTCTGCAAAACTTGGGCTTGGTCAAGAGGCCACATCTGGAGACCTAGAAGCCGGGGCCTTGAGGCTGCAGGTTCCCCACCTCTGGTCCAGGCTGTACTCGCAGTGTTTGTCTGGGGTTCCCCTATTATGCTCCTTTTACACCTGGGCTGCCACAGATAGTATAGGCAATTGGTGTCTGTTTACACTGACACTAGAATTTTAGGGGAGCTAAATAATGACAAAGCTGTTTTTTTTTTAAAAATAAGTCTATACATGATGGTGAGAAAAGATCATGTGGTAAGAGTGATTGGAATCAATCTATGTAGGAGATCTCTGTGAGGTTTGGAGGAAAGAAGCACCTTTAACTGAAATATTGGCATACTTGTGTTTTGGTGTTTTTTTTGCTCCTTTTGTCTTCACTATGGTATATGTGGATGTATGAGTCAGTTTGGAGTCATAGATCATGCTGCTCCAACCTCATGACTTTCACTGATCCAGTCCTTCTTTTACAACAGCTGCCAAAGTAATTTTCCCCAAATGTAGGTCTAACCCCATATAATAAACTCCAGTGATTCCCTATTACCTCTAGAATCAAATATAAACTTCTCTGGCATTTAAAACTCTTCACAACATGGCCCCTTCTTAGCTTTCCAATCTTGGTAGACTTTACTCCCCTCCAGGCATTTAATGATCCAGCTGCCTTGCCATTCCTAGTACATGATACTCCATCTCCTGACTCTGTGATTATTACTCGTTTTCCCCCATGCCTGGAATTATCTCCCTCCTCACCTCTGACTCTTGACTTTCCTAGATTCCTTCAAGATCAGCTCTAATTCTACCTCCTTCTACAAGAGGACTTTAGGGTCTCCCACTTTGAACCCTTTTCCTCTGAGATTATTTTCCATTTCCATTATGTATATCTTTTATATACATAGTTATTTGGATGTTGTATCCCTCGTTAAAATGTGAGCACTGTTAGGGAAAGGGCTATTTTTTGCATTTCTTTGTGTCTTTAATGCTTAGTGGCATACCAAGCACATGTTGTTCCATCATTTTAAGTTGTGTTTGACTCGCTGTGACCTGATTTGGCATTTTCTTAGCAAAGATACTGAGTTTGTGATTTTTGTTCATCATTTCCTTCTCCAGCTCATTTTACAGATGAAGTAAATGAAGTAAATGGGGTTAAGTGATTTGCCCAGGATCACACAGCTAGGAAGTATCTGAGGCCAGATTTGAACTCAGGACTAGCTTCTCTAAAACCTCTCCCTTGCACCTTTTGTATACTAGTATCTGGATATAAGTAAAATGAGTGTAGTGCTACCATGCTTCCAAAATGTGTAAAAGCCCTTCTGATGTGTCTTTTTTAGGTATCCTGTTCTCCCTGGTGGTGGTGTTATATGTCATCTGGGTCCAGGCTGTGGCAGACATGGAAAGCTACACAAATATGAAGAGGAAAGACTGCTCAGAATTTACACCCTACGTCATGTACGGCTGGTCATTTCTGCTGGCCCCAGCTGGGATATTTTTCTCTTTGTTGGCTGGATTACTATTCCTCCTTGTGGGGAGGCATATTCACATATACTCCTAATCATCTTTCTGTCACCCAATAGGGGATATCATAATCTTGTTGAAATGTTTAACTAGAATGTAATCTTTACATGGTGTTTCCATTATGCCATTGTAGAGTTGTTTGGTGTAACTCGATAGGTGTTTTAAATGAATCATTTTATTTATAATTTCCTTCTGACAAGAAGGCACCCAGCTCCTTCCAGAAAGTAAAACCTCTCAATTTTATCCAGATACAATTATCAATTTTCAGTTCTTTTAGAAACTATCTCTCATAGGTCTCTTTTTTAATGGCACATATAGCGTTAGATCTTTTGTTAATTCTGGGGAACTGATAACAAAACATCACATCTATCAAATAAGTATTTTTTTGTTGTTGTTTTTTTTTGTTTTTTTTTTTAAGGCTGCCACTTGTCATTAACTTCTTTTGCTGTTG